CCGATTATAATTAAAAACTATCCACTCGCCACTTAACCAGCCCTTGAGATGGTGCTTCAAACTTTATTTTCCACCGGGGAAAACTATTTCAGGTTGATTTAGCATCGGCATCCTAAGTATCTAGTTGGTTGCAATTGCTCATTTTGCAGGGATGATCAATTTATTTGCAAGACAAGATTTAGATTGGACATGAAGTCAATGATGATAAGGTTCTTAATAGTAGTAGCTTCTGGATAAGAAATGGCAATGCACTTTGAGTGAGACACATTATGAGAACATTCAGCTAATGATCTATAAGTTTATATCTACTTCATTAATCAATGTGTAGGCCTAATAGACTAGAATTTTGAGGTTTTTCCCAAAAAGAAAAGAATTTTAAAGATAAAAAATAACTTTGTAGAAACAGTGAATTTTAAAATATTCATGAAAGCCATGTTTTCTCTATGGTTAATGAATGACCTTTCACTCTCTGCATTTTCAAAACTTGATTATGAACAGTTCAACAAAACCAATCTAACTAAATTGTTTTAAAATAATAAATTTCAGTAATCTTGAAGCAGGACACAGAATCTATTTTAGTTCCCCAAACACCTCAGTGGGAAAATCACCCACTTTTGGGGGAGAAGAAAATTTTTACCATCTTAAAAACTGCTAACTAAAATTAATTTTAGTTTCTTTGAAATCACCGTATTTGCTGTTTTTCTCTCTTAAAAAGTATAGATACCTTCGAAAAAATTTCCCGGTGAAAACTGAAAAGCATACTGAAATAGCAACTGATCAAAAGTTCATAAATATTGTATTTTTAATCTGATGAACAGTAAACTGAATTTGCCTTGTAAACTATGTTTGTTTGAGATTTTTAAAACTCGTCTTTGATTCATTTTATGAACAATAATAATTTCTAAGCACAATGTGTGACAACATTGCCTGTTTTTATAGGCTAACCTAGCTATCAATGAAAGCTTTGTGTGACGATATGCATTTATTTGGATAAAACTTTCTAATATTCCAAGGGTGAGCCATATAGGACCAACAACAGAAATTGAATCACATAAAAAAGTCGATCATATACTCAGTTTTCACCATAAAAAACTAATGATAAAAATTTTAAATATGATGTTAAAAATATGAAGGTGCTTTGTTAAATTCGTTAGTAATTTATTTTAATGTTTGATTACGGAAAAATTATTAAACCTAAAATGACAGTTAAGTATTGCACAATGCACACAAATAATACAATGTTCAAACCCTAATATCCAAGATGCTTTACAGAGGGATAACAATGATGATAAATTTCAATTTAGTCACTGCTCAGATCTTGGGTGACATTATTTTAAATGAACAAAAACTAAAAGTTATAGAGTGACTGTGTAGTTTTGCGTTATTGGATATTGGATGTTATTTCCTGATGGATAGCAACATGCGTCCGATTCTATCTGCGGGGGAATAAATGGCCATTGTATTGAGCCTGAATTTGTGATTTTTATAATATATTTTAAAACTGAATTTTACAATTTGGTCAGTAATAGTTAAGTCCCCCTGCCATACCTTAATAATAAACGAACACTAAAAATTGGATGAATACATTTTAAAAACCTAAATCTATCATCTTTAACTAACTTTCAATTTACTTATTTTGTTTGTCTTGGCACATTTTTAACTCTGTGAAACAAGAATTGACAGAATTTCAAACCAAGAAAAAAGTTAAGGCCTACCTACGCTGTTTGTTGTATCATAATAATCATAGCTATAATATATATAAAAAACAATATTAGCTATGACCCAGTTCCATATGTTATGCAGTTTTCTTATCAGTAGTCCAACAAAGTCAGCAGAAAAATTATTCCCAAAGTTGTTTCCAGGATATAAGTAAATGTGAAGAGTAAAAGATTCAGATAGAAACCATATTTTATTATGGATGTCAATAAAAGTTGTTTATGACTTAACATTAAAAACAACTGAATAAAATGTTCAAAAAATACCAAAATGCATATCGGTCAGTACCGGTCAATTTATTTTAGGTAGGTGTGTTTTATTTATTTTTCAGTTAAGTTTGTGCTGGTACTGTACTAACAATAATTTGTTTCGGCAATACAGTTAAAGTATACCTTTTTAATAAGGTGAATGTTTATGAGTTTTGTTCAATGACTGTAGTGATGTTGTGGGAAGTCAAAATTTTTACCACACATTTTAAACCAACTAAAAGTTCCTCGATTTAAATCAAATTTTGGAAAAACTTCTTTGTGATTCAAACTGATGACAAGTTACATACAGGTGGTATATAACATCTCTCTAACTATGATGCAAGGGGGGCGTTTATGATTTTCGATCGATGACTAGTGACGTAATAGAGAAGCCAGTGACGGAATGCACTATAATCGCAACTCTGGTATGCCAGCCCAACCGAGATATTTGCCCCTTATATCCAGTAATGAAGTATTGGCATTTCTCGGCCATAGTCTAGGCACGTTTCTTTCATCTTTCATGCAACTTTCCTTAATTTCTTTATTTGTTTCTTAGTGTATTATATTGGATCAAGTAGAATAAATCATTTTGTTTTTAAAGTGGTAAGTAACATGGCATTGTTACATTGCGTAAAGATTTGTTGGGAAAAAATGTTAACATTATTGGCAAATATTAGTATACTATTATTTTATGTTTTTATTTTTCAATTTTGTTTATGGATGTAATTGACTTTGCAGTTTTTAAGGAAATACATAAGTGTAGTTTTTATTTTTTATTAAATTATATTTAAAGTTCTTCTATTTGTTTTAGTTAGGAAGAAAATAATTTTGGTAAATGGAAGTCGTGGTAGCTCATAGCAGACTGGGTTATTATTTTTAAACGACATAATTTTAGGCTATAAACAATAGTACATTACTAGACACAACTTTTAATCTATATGCTAAAACCTTTTTGTAAGTAGTGGGTCCATTAACTATTGTTATTTTAACATTTGTTTAAATTAGCAATGCCATTCATCTGATCTATTTTTGATGAAAACACAAAATTAGCATAAGAGAAAAAATAATGTATCTAAAAACAAATTACACATCCATCTTTAAGTTTCAAATTCGATTCTTAACAAAGGTGGTAAGGATTTCTCAACCTCACAAATAGCTGTGAGCATAAACTTTTCGCAAGTTAGGGCCGACACAGCAGAATAAAAACTTTACTGCGGTGATGTTTGCCAGAGTGGCAAGGAGAGGGTGGGAGGGGGGGGTTAAAATGGATCTTACTGCAGTGAACAGTGTTTAATTGTGCTCTTCTAATCCGGTGAAGCTAGTCATCTCTGAGCCAGAGAAAATGTTGCGTCTCCAGCATCCTGTCTTTACCTCGGAAAAGTATGTTTGCAGTACAAATCATCTTTCATGTAAAATCTACCTTTCACTTCTTAGGCCCGGTTTCCCCAAAATGGTGTAAACTACGTTTATAATAAACTAGTTTCTTTTTAAACTCCGTTTAAAATGTGTGTTCGGTTTCTCCAACATTTTACTGGCTTCGTTTAAGATAAACGGCAATTCGAGCGGTTGGCAATCCTGAATGTGTATTTGTAAGGAAACTTCGGTGGGCTTTGGGCTAGTGTTTCCTACAACCACCACAACGCTACGCTACAACTCAGTAGAGCAAACAGCAAACGAATGCAGCTAGAATAACATCACTGTTTAAGGTTATGTTATCAAGTTATTATAAGTTGTTGTCAAATTCAGATTCATTCCATTTATTGAAATGGTCAATTCTGTCCCTTATTTTAGTAGGCCCTCTTGTTCTAGGTACTAAAGTATCATAATCTTCATCTTCTACTTCTTCGGAAATGTCTATTAACTCTTCCGTTTGAGGGGGTAAATAAGTTACTGCAATTAATTAATAGTAGCCTAACTTGAAATAAAATCAAATGTACTAAAAAAAAGAACTTAGTAAAAACAATAAATTAAAATATAAATAAAACTTAACTTAAAGCTATCCCTAAACCAAGCCTACTTTCATCCAAATGAATTTGTAGTTGCTTCAATTATTATTGTTTTAACACCTACTTTTTGTTTTGATTTGAGGTTATGTTACTGTTGTAATTTACTAATTTGAACTCAGTTTATTTTATCCCCAGTAGTTAAACCAAGCCGAGAGGTGGTTTAGTTTGAACTTAGATTAATACCTAGTTTAAATTTGGGGAAACACAAATCAAAGTTAAACTAAGTTTAAATCGCCGTTTAACTTAAAACTAAGTTTAAATGAGTTGGGGAAACCGGGCCTTAGAACATTAACTAGATCACAAAAATTATGTTAATTACTATTGATTGGATAAATTATTACATTTCATATACTGTAGGCCTATTATAAGTTACTTTATGTACATTACTCATAAATGTGGCAATTTTTACAAGGTATAATTTCATAAATAAACAAAATTTAAGCTAGCATTGAAATGTTTTTGTGAACTGATAACATTTGTGAAGTTTCAATCAGTTGTTCATTTTACTACAATCTATTTACATTTTTTTTTTTGGTGATTTGATGAAATTGAAATGTTAAATTATACCATAAGTCGTATGGTAATAATAATTTTAACCGCTTACAGTAAATAACTTACATATCATATTTTTTATTCATGAGATAATCCATGATCACGGTCATGGTCAACAAAGCAGCATCACTTGAGATCCACAATCGGGAAAGATTGTGTAGGTAATGTGAGCTACAGACTATTTACTTTATGAACTATGGCAAGAGAAGGCACCTGCCTCAGGAAGATCTTATAGCTGCAGTTCATTAAGCATCTCTTTCTCAAGTTTGACAGGCTCTGAGACACTAACAGGGAACAGAAAACCCCTCAGGTGGTTAGGAACAAAGTCCGCAACAACTCAATCAATCAATCAATTTAATTCATTCCAATGGTGCCTTGTCAACAACAAGAGCAAAACTGTTAAGAAACAGAGGTTCACACAAAACAGGAATCATAGATCTTTTATGATTAAAGAACAAGCAAGATACAAGTTATTTACCTTCCTAATGTCGTCCAGGTTGTGTATCTCCGGTGACAGTCCACCGTGTACACACAGGAACTGTTGGTTCATCAGGGCAGCGAGAGGCAGGCAGTCAAACGCATCCATACACGCGTCGTACACTCGCTCCGAGTATTTTATTTTACCTGCAACATTACAGGAACTCATTTAAAATGGAAATAATTAATTCCATTTATTCATAATCTTAGAAGTTCAATCAGAGTCAAAGTAAAAGGATGCAGAATACTATAGTAGCCATTTCACCAGGTTTCTCTTAAGTTTCTGTGTGCTACCATTGAGTTTGATAGAACGATGTTTAAAAACTTGGCGCCAGCGTACATGGATTGTTCTTCAAAAAGTAATCAAGGTTTTTCTACAGGTTTTCTTGGTTGTGAGGAAGGCTGTAGTTTTTTGCTCTTCTCAAGTTGTAGGTATGGGTGTCAGATCCTCTTTTAGCGAATTTCCTTATAGGGAAGTAACTATTACCGTAGGTGCAACAATATTTTTATCCTTGCTATATGAAAAATAACTGAAAACCTGTTTTATATGAATCAGATTATGTGTTGATGTCAATAGGCATGTCAAATGATAAATAAAGTCTGGCGCTAAAAGTCAATGATGTTTTCTTTCATGCAATATTGTCAAGTTCTAGCGTCGTTTCGGATCTCTGTAATGTGATCTTGAGCCACAAAACCTAATTTTCAGCACTTGCTGCAAAATACACTATATTGTTCTCTGCAGTGAGGACATAAACCACCAAGTCAGTTTGAATTGCTGGTTAGGAACCCCTTAGCACACTATATAAACTAATTTTATTGTGAATTGGGATATAAACCAACAGATTTAGGATTTAATATAATTTTAAATTATAGTAATACTCCAATGTGTAGAGTTGCATTGGACAGACACAGCTACTCGTTTCTTTTAAGTTTCAGTGTCCAAAAAAAGTTTCTTGGGACAGTAAAATGTTCCATACTCTAAAAATCACTTAACTGACGTTCTTCCACACATCAATTAAGGTTAAGTTTGATAGGTAATAAATAATTAAATCTACAATCTAAATGAATAAAAGATATCAGAATATTGTAATAATATAAGTTACGTACACAAATCAAATGGATCTTTAATTTATAATTTGTACACCATGAGAGGTCTGATTCCCACCCCACTCCTTTTAATTATAGTAGGTTTCTGTGTGTCTTGTTCATCAGTTTGGGTATTGTAACGATAATAATGTGAAAGTTTGAGTTATTTTCCAATTTGAAAAACAAAATCATGATTAGCCAGTTTTTACTCTCTACAGTCTTTATCCAAGGGTGTCACAGAAAATACACTTACAAAAAGCAGTACATTGTCATACATCGATTTGAATTTAAAAACATCTTTGCATATACAAATGTTTTGAGGTTTCTAATGTTCATATACAACCCACCTCCTAAATTAAGCATAACATGTACTTAATGAAACTTTGCACCAGACTCTATGGCCCATTTATATAATCTCATGTCACTAGCAAAATCCTACGGCACAAGAAGAAAAATGAATACAAAAAAATGTTAAACAATATAATACAGAGCACAAGTTGATAGGAAGGAAGGCCATAATAACTTGACGGCATGCCTAGCGAGTTAATCTATATTACTAATCTAATTGAGAGCTGTAGTTTATACCTGGCAATTAAGGTGAAATGACTTTCAGTTATGCTTTCTCTTTACATTTGCATAGCTATTTATTGTAACCAATCCATCATTAAATACCCCCGCCGCAGCAAACCTGCAGACTAAGCGAATTTCCATTTGCCTAATTGGATTTACACTAAAATGTCTACTTAAAAATATAACATTTATTTCCTATTTAAATAGAATTAGTATAACAAGTACTTAGGTTTGCTGCATCAGGGAGGGTAAAACTGTTCTTTTTTTTTTTTTGTAAAATGTTAATAGTTAGTAAGAAATAAAAACATTTTCCAAATTTGATCAAAATATGTTCATAAACAAGCAAACTACAACAGTTTACTTATTCTCCATAAGAATAACATGGGAATTTTAAATTTACAGTTTTTTGGAATTTTCTCCGTAACCATTAGGCGCATAATAACGCTTCAATATACTAAATTATTTGTTTTTTTGAGCTCTACAAAATGGTTTGGAAAGAAATTGCTAAATTTTATGTTTTTTGGGTCAAAAATGGGAAAAACCTATTTTTACCCCATAAAACCCCCCATAAACCCCCGTTCCCATGGTCCGATCATGCTGGATCGCGAACTCGTTCAAATAAACGTAGGTTTACACGTTTGTACCAAATTTTATCAAAATCGGATCATTTTTGCTCGAGTTATCGTGCTAACGGACACATATATATATATAAATATATAAATAATAAATAATATGTAAAATAACATGAGTACCCTTTTTAGCGAATTTCCCATATAGGGAATAAGCTATTACCGTAGTACTCATGGTAAGACCTGGACCCGGGACCGATTTTTTTTTTCGTTTTGAGGTCCCTAGAGGCCAAAAACACCATCCGTTCAAATTCATATATATATATATATATATATATATATATATATATATATATATATTTATATATGTGTCCGTTAGCGCGATAACTCGAGCAAAAATGATCCGATTTTGATGAAATTTGGTACAAACGTGTAAACCTACGTTTATTCGAACGAGTTCGCGAACCAGCATGATCGGACCATGGGAACGGGGGTTTATGGGGGCTTTTATGGGGTAAAAATGTGTTTTTCCCATTTTTGACCCAAAAAACATAAAATTTTGCAATTTCTTATTAGACTATTTTGTAGAGCTTAAAAAAACAAATAATTTAGTATATTGAAACGTTATAATGCGCCTAATGGTTACGGAGAAAATTCCAAAAAATTGTAAATTTAAAATTCCTATGTTATTCTTATGGAGAATAAGTAAACTGTTGTAGTTTGCTTGTTTATTAATATTTTTTGCCCAAATTTGGAAAATGTTTTTATTTCTTACTAACTATTACAATTTACATAAAAAAACACTTTTACCCTCCCTGTTGCAGCAAACCTAAGTATGTGTTAAACTGATTCTATTTAAATAAGGAATAAATGTGATATTTTTAAGGAGACATTTTAGTGTAAATCCAATCAGGCAAATGGAAATTCGCTTAGTCTGCAGGTTTGCTGCGGCGGGGGTATTTTATATTCTTTTTTATTTAATATATATGAATTTGAACGGATTCTGTTTTTGGCCTCTAGGGACCTCAAAACGAAAAAAAAAATCGGTCCCGCGTCCAGGTCATACCATGAGTACTACAGTAATAGCTTATTCCCTATATGGGAAATTCGCTAAAAATACGTAAAGAAAATGTACTAAATTAAATTTAGCTTCTCCGTAAATTCTTTTACTTAAATATTAATTTGTATCTGTTAAAATATTAGGAGATAACATAATTTTTAAAACAGCAGTTCTAATTAAATGTATCTTATAAAAATAAATGGTGTTATTTTATTGATTATTGACATGTAGGGGAAAGCTTTCTTGATACCAAATTGGGAACCCTTTAATTAAATAGTAACTGGTTGAAAATTAAAAAAAAAAATTAATATATAACCTATTATTATTGTTGCAATACCCAAATTTATAAAATCAAGACACACACAACCCTACTACAGTTAAAGGAGGGGTGGGGGTGGTACAAATCAAACCTCAAATTATACATTAAAGATCCATTTGATTTGTGTACGTAACTTATATTATTATAATATTCATAGTGATTTTTTTGTACCTTAGATTTAATTATTTATTTACCTATCAAATCAAACTTAATAGTTTATGTGTAGAAGATCATCATCGTTTAAGTGATTCTTAGAGTAATAGAACATTTTTCTATCAAAAGAAACTTTGTTTGGACACTGAAACTTTGGAAACTTCTATGGGGTTTAACAGGTTAAACCATCAAGAACAATTAGAACTTACAGAATAAGAATAAGAAGATCTTTATTGTCATGAAAGTACATTCTTTAACAACTAGCAAAGCTAGAACAGAATAGATGACATTGTCAATGCAGTAAAGTTATCATAATTAAGTAGTTACACCATTATCCCTTTACAAGTTGGTTTTCTAAAACTTATCATTTAAAAATGTGTCAACTGAATAATACATTTTTTAAATCAAAAAATCCTTTAACTTTTTTCTAAAGCTGTTTTCCATTATTATTTCCTTTAACTCGCTGGGTAGTGTATTGTACAGTTTCCTCCCCATATATTGTGGTGTTTTTTCAGATAGTGTCAGACAGTGTCTTGGATACTGAAAATTTGCTTGAAAACAGTTTAAGCTTTTCAATAAATTTTGACATAGAGTAAAATGAATCAAACTAAAGTTGAAATATTACGGAACACCCTGCATGGTGAATTCCATGAGGTAAGACAATAAGTGAGCTCCAAAATAGTTTACAAAATAAACCATGTTAAAAACAGCAAAATATATTTTTCATGGAAGAAGGCTCTAAGACCAATTTTGAGGTCAGTAAGCTTATCCAAACCGCACGATCTCAATAGTTTCCACTAAAAGCTCTGTTACTGCCCTTTAGGATTTCAGATAGAGGATCAAGCGGCCCAAAAGGGGCAATTCTCCTTCCAATGACTCACTATCCCAGATAAAAATGTTTGCCTTTTTAAAAGAGGTGGTGTTGTGGTGGTTTAATACAATAAAATTTGGTCGCCTATCTTAAAGTTATAAGTAAACTCAATTTTTGCAATGCATTTCTCATCTTAGGAATTACGTTACCGTACATAGATTGTTAGGATTATCTTCATAGGAAAAAACTCCACTTACAATACAGTTAAAATAATAAATTAATTTAAAAATTAAATAAAGGACCATATTAATTTTTTTTTTTGAATTATTGATTAGGTAATTTAATTGATAATAAATAGCATATAGTAGGAAATTTGTCTTACTTAATTCAAACATCTAAAACAGATAATTTCTGGGTTTCACAGAATGCTAGGTTGATCACTGGCTACAGAAAAAAATCTACATCGTGGTTACGTATTTAGTTTTTAACTTAAAAGTTTATGGATATATTATGATCAAACTTGGCAGATTTATTTATTTAAATATCGATAAATTATCCATGATAATATTAGATAAATCTAACTTTTGAAATGATGTTTTAAGGTCTTTTTTACACCAAATAAACATTTTTTTAAGTTAAACTCAAAAAATTATTCAAAGTATTTTATATTTTACAAATTGCACACCGAATAAAAACACACAAAACAGTGGTAAAGAAATTTAAAAGAAATAATTTGATTGATATTTGGTAAACACAATAAATAACTGTAGTGTATTAAAAAATTCTTATAATTCAATTTAAGTTTTTTACTTAAAAATATTTTAGAAACAAATGAGAAAAAATTTTTGCATACAAAAAATTGAAACCACCTAGGAATATTTGTATTTTTAAAAATTATGTAAAAAATTGTGTAAATTAAATCTTACATGACAATTAATGAATTGAAAAATCCAATTGTAACCGTATGTGAAAATTAATTTTCAAATGCAAATGAAACACTAGCTCCCAGTTATTTTAGGCAGGACAACCTGAATTGCTGTAGCTCCCAGTTATTTTAGGCAGGACAACCTGAATTGCTGACAGATAGTATTAAAATATATCACTGCCTCAACGGTCAAGGGAACTGTTGATGGTGGAGGAGCTCTTTGTATGTTTTGTGGTGTTGTTTTTGGACCTCACGGCACAACAATAAAACTGACTGCCGGCCAAAAACTGTTTGAAACAATCTTGGTTTATTTTCATCCTCGAAACTATACTTGCAAATGACAATTTTACCAAACAGATTAATATAATTACTTATTTAACCATTTTAGGTGGATTTTCTTTAAACAAACTGGACACAAACTATAAGGTTAAGTACATAATTGAATGTAGGCCCAAAAAATAAATAAATAAAAATTTATAAAAAATTAATTGCTAAACATAATTTATAGGCTTAAAAAATTAATTCAAAATACTGTAATGGAATTTAAAAAATAAAATATATATTAAAAATTTTAAAAATTCAAACATTGTTAATTAATAGAAATTAAAACCATTGAATAATTTACAAAAATATAGGACTGATGCATTTCTACACAGACTTGACATGGTCACAGCCTTTAAAAACTAATATATTATAACATAAAAAACGCCAATCTACTTTTAAGCTTTGGGCGTGGAATCCTTTTAAAACCAGAAATAAAATATAAAATCTGAATGGATTGAAAATTCAAAGGTAAAAATAGTTATACAATAGATATCTTGAAAACTTAATAATTTAATATGATTTTCAAATATTATTTACAATAAAAACTTGAAACGTTTTAAGTGAATATTAAATATCATTAAGAATAAGAATTTAATAACATAAATAACACTAATATCTTTATTTTCAGACTGCACTTTTAAAACATAATTCATAGTAGGGCTTTAAATTAAGATTCATAATTATTAAATACTTTCAGTAAAGTTACAACTTGTAAAATATTAAGTTGCTTTAAATTTTTTCATCAGAGAATTCTTATTTGAAATTGTATACTGTTAATATGCATTGATTTTTCTTTTCTATTTTCATTGTCAAAATTTAATTTCTTTTTGGTAGATTTAAGATGTTTTAAGACAAAATTATAATTGGGAAAGAAATAATGTTTTAAAACACTTCAATAAATTTATACACGTTGAATTTATTTTATTCTATACAAACCTTATTATTGCCCCAAAATACACATCTACAAGTTTAATATTATAAGATAAAATATGATTTTTAACTAAAACTAAAAATAACAGTTTTAACCCTAGAAACATAAGTACAAGTTGTTATTTTCAACTGAACTTTGTAACAAACTAAATGATTACTTTCACACTTCTTACTTGTTGTTTAACAAGTGTTGAAAAGACACTTTTAAAACAAAAAGCTTATCCTGATCATCATTCAACATGAACTGCAATAAACATTTCGCTTGTTTTCTCTCACCAAATGTTGTTTGTTGGGTTTACTCAACAAATATTTACAAAACAAAACTCCTTCTAGGTTAACTAATGTTAAATCTAACAGACATTTGTGAAACTAGGTTAATTTTAATATTTCAACAATAATAAACCCCTGATTATTGTGTGAGTACAAATAAACGAGTTTCATATTATTTTTGCTGAAATATACCTGTTGCAGGAAACCTGCAGACTAAACAAATTTACATTTTTATAATTTTCATAATTTCCTTAAACTTGTCAAATTTATTCCCTATTTAAATAGCACTAGATTTAACAAGCACACTGCTGCAAGAAAGGACAAAGTGTTTCTTATGAAAAATGTTTATAGTACGGTACAGAATAAATAAATTGGGCAAATTTTATATATTTTAGGCCTATATGGTATTCAAAGAAGGTTGGGGCATAATTTACGTAGTAATTCCTTGGGTCGAAATAAAGAGAAAGTCATGAATACAACTTTTTACAAAATCACTTCGAAAACCAGATATAACCTGCCATTTTGTATTATTACATAAACATTTTTAACCTTTGGATTTTCCAACCAATCTTTATGATACTTTGTATGCATGTTAAGTTAGAAGAGACCTGTGTTAAGAAAAATTACCTTGATCCAATTTAAAATTTCAAAAGGGCTGCTATTTTAATGTTTTAAATATAAAAAAACTACAAAATGGCGAATATCTAGTAATCAAAGCGATTTTAGGAAAAGTTGTATTCTTTATTTTATTTTGATTTTGACTCAAGGAACTCTGTGTTTTGGTAGGAACACTATGTAAACTAAGTCCCTACCTTTTTTTGAACACCCTGTATCCATGTATCCATAATGAAGCTGAAGCTACAAACTACAACAGTTTACTTCTTCATATTCTCCCTAACAAAAATATAAACATTTTAAATTTAGTTTGTTTTTCTGTAACTAAAGAGCCTACAACGACACTTAAAAAGAATGTGCTGGATTATTTTTTGATTCTTTTAACTCTACAAAATCATATAGATAGAAAATGCCAAATTTTAAGTGTTGAGGTTAAAAATGGGAAAACCCCATTAAACCTTGTTCCCATCTACGATCACGCTGGTTCACAAACTCGTTAAAATAAATTCAGATTTAATCATTTTTTTATGTTATCTTCATCGGATAATTTTCAGTCAAGTTATTAAGCCAAAGGACTACACATACATATATACAGTATATCCGTATGAATCTAAATAGACGATGATTTGGCCTCAGGGGACATCAAAGAAAAAAGTAAATTGGTCCCAGGTTGCAGGATTAGGCCTTACCAAGAGACCTCTTGATGGTGTTAACAAGAATACACACTAAAGAACAAACAACTAGTATATTCATATTTTAAACTCCCATTTTTTAGCAACTATCCATGTATTTTGAGTTGAAAGGAGGAATAATATCCATAAACTATAGGATATTAACTAAAAATAGGGTGTCCCGGTGGTAATTTTTGCTAGCATAGGATCAAGGAGTATGACCAACACTTACACACCCTTTCATTGTTAGTCCTCCCCCTTCAATCACCTATTCTATACGTTTGTTACAATCCACTCCAAAAAAGTGAACCAGCAGCATGTGCAGATGTTTTAAAATAATATCTGACAACGTAAGACAGATACATTCATGCAAATACACTTTATGATGTATATCAAGATTAATCTTTGCACAAACATACACTGTCAAGCATTACCCAAACTGATGGTTGGATGTTTGAGGGTCAGTTATTTACTGTAATTATCCGAGTAGAGATTAAGAGTGTCAGTGATGTAGCACCTTCTCCATCATCCCTCTTTATTTCTCACCCTCCTTCTCTATTTCGCTTTCCCTCCATTCCTCTAATGCTGTATCATCCATCCACGATTCCTACAGGTAATACTGTATGTCCAAAATTATCCCAGCATATATATCAGGAGCACATTTTTATTAATTGAGATAACAAAGTTATCAGAAAAATAATATTTTTTACTTTTGAATCCCTTAAAAGTCATGCAAAAGGTTGTAATTTAAGTGCTCTAAGATCATATCACAACATTCTAAATTCGTCTTTAACTCATATTTTGGTTAAAATATGCACCAAGGTGGCATTCCCATCTCAACTAATTGATAATTGGTTGAATTTAATAATGAAAATTATGACGTCTGTGGGATAAATTGATATTATAACATAAACATTATAATGATAGGGCATTTATGCCATAACAATAATAACTGTTTGAAAAGCATAAATTTATCTTCTTATAACAATTTTGTACTAAAACCAACTCAAGTACCTAAAATTTCCAATAGATAGTTTAATTCCTTCTATATTCCAAGTGAAACGTGTTCATCTTCCTTCTTTTTGGTTGATAAATGAACCTCTGAACCCGACAAAATTGACATGAGATTTTAACAAACTCGAAGAAAAAACTTAGAGAAATGTTTATTTTTAGTTATTATTTTAATTATTTACCCCTTTTTAAAACATTTGATGAAATAATGTATTGTGTCTTATTTATGTTTATTTATGACTTAACAGAATAACATCCTTGAGAAAGAACAATTGATGAAGATGATGTATCCTCGTTGCAAAAATAAGAGAAAACTACTAATTTATTAACAAATGTTTACAAATAAATAAGCAATACTTACATTCTTGTTTAAACGTAAAATATTCCGTAAGATGTCTACACTCGTGGTTTCCTCGTAACAGGAATAACGTGGTTGGGTGACACAGCTTTAGTGCCCATAGGTACAACACACACTGGAACAAAAAAAATACAAATATTAACATTTACATATAAAAACCAGAAGAAGAATTATAATGAGAGAATTTATAATAGTGATTGACCAAGTGGGAATAAGTTTGAATGCAGTAAATTAAGTTGTTATTACTACAGGACAATAATATTCTTTGTCTACAGTTGTCAAGCAAAGTGGCAATTTGTGCACTAGTATTTTAACAATTTCTGTGGTCACTAATTTTCCCCACTCTGGATGACAACTGAAAAAAAAAAATTAGGCAAAGTTCATTGTAACACTAGCTGCTGTACCCGTGGTTTGCAACGGGGAGAACAAGGTTTGCAACGGGGAGAACAAAAAAATAGTAATAGTGCTGCACTCTATTGTTGAACCTTGTCACTTTTAATGCTATTTAACATCATTGAACCTTGTTGGGTTAGCCTATTTGAAACAGCTATCAATATTCTTTGATTCTTTTTAAATATGAATATATATTTAAGGCAAACATGGGAAACTCCAGAGCCACTAGCCCCAAGGGAGTTCAAGAATGGGAATGGGGCAGAAACCTTCCTGGGGGTGTATACAACGAATTCCCAAAGTTTTATTTTCATCAGAAGGAGGGTTTAACAGTGACCTATTTTATTTCATTTATAAAGATTCGGTATGGTAACGGAAACATAAAGGAAACACATACGAACAACGACATGCATTGGATTTGAAATAATGATAATCATCAGGAAAGAAGCTGTTTAAAGAATAACTTAATTTCCCCATATAAAATGTTATAAATAATAATAGAAAAACAACATTTGGGTTGAAAACAAAGTAATTACTAATTTTAGATTTTAAACATAGTGATTATTTTTATTTGCAGAATAGGCTATTGAAGTTGGCAATTACATTAATTAACCTGTCATCGCAGTGCATATACATTTAACTCTCATAAAAATCCACTTTGCTCACTAGTTGCACACATAACTACTTCGTAAGAAATTCTTAAGTTAATTTGAGTGTTTTATCACTTAAGTAGTGTTAGTAGTTAAGTAGTGTTTTATCACCAATTAGCTTCAACTCACAGTAGTCACAGTGCTCAGTTCACTGTAACATGGAGCTTGTGCTACCGATGTTTAACTTCTTACACCGAGCAGTTAAACAGATAAATAATTCCTAGTCAAGAGTCATAACACGGCTGAAGGAAATAGACCTACACTCCATTGAGGAATATTTTATAAAGCCCATAACCATATGAGATCCCTTTGGGGACTAAGCAAACGTTAACTTTTTTGTATATTTTTTTTTTAATTCTTAAAAACTTAAGTATAGATATACATTTTAAAGTGCATGCATTACTAAGATTTGATCATTCAGACTATAGAGCTCGGATTATACAATTTTGACTCCTATAAGTTTTGAGTGGTTGGTTAACTGTACAATCTGTGCAGTATAATCTAATGCACTTCAAATATAATCTGCTGCCAACCTTCCACAACTGATAGATACTACTTATGTTAGTATTGCTTGATAAAACCACTCAAGTTAATTTCAGATAACAATAAGTTGGTAGTTGACACAATATTGGTTGTGGTTACATTTTGAATAAGCCTCGTGCCTTGCTTCATTTTATAGAAGACTAACATTATAAACTATAATTTAAAGAACATTTGGATTTAATTTCTTATTGCAGCCAACCTAAATCGTAATTAGGCCACAAGTCAAATAAGTCATGAGACGAGGATGAATTTCTTTTTAAGTTGGTTCATCTGGGAAATGTGTCAAGTAATGTACTTTTTAATTTTATTTTTAATTGAGGTTCTCTTTACTAAGTTAAATTTGATATACAACCTCTAGAAATTGTTGTTAAATGTATACAAATAAGATTTATAATAAAGTTTATAAAATTTTTAACTAGCCTTGTGTAGTATTTTAAAACACTTTATATATGCAAAACTAAAATATGAGAAAAGTTCTTTCTCCCAAACCTCAGAAAAATTTGGATTGATTGGGTCGGCACTGAAATCTTTTGGGAAAAAATCTATTGAAAAACACAGTCCCGACCCGATTGACCCAGGTTATTTTTCAGTTTTTTTTTAGGGTAATAAACCCTGGGTAGTTGGTAGTAGCATCATTTCCCGTTGTTCCTCGTAACAGCCTTTTATTATTCCCGTCATCTCTGTGTTTACGTTTCCAAATTTTTTAGGGCAAGTCTATTAATTATCTACAGAAAGCTGCGAGGACCTCAGAAAGCTGCAGTAACACTATCTGTGAGGCAACGGATGTACTTTGTCGATTTAGTTTGTCAGATTACCGCAAGAAGTTCGGGTGTCCTCTATTGGCAATCAGGAGAGACACTTCACAACCCTGGGTGCCAGCACGACCGGGTCAGCAAGTCGGTCTGTCCGACCTACCCATGCCGGCGCAATCAGACCGCATGGCACCTAACGTTTTAAGTGAGCCTAGTCAACTGTCTTTATAAAAAAAAATATATTTCTTGAAACAAAAAGTCACAATACATGAAAACCATCTAAATATACCCATTCTAGTTTTTAACTCATTATTTCAAGAGAGGTTCTCTGAGTTGGCATATCTAAATTTAAAAATGTTGCAGTATATTCTCAAGATGGAAGGCTGGCAGTAACAGCCGAGTTAAGTACTAAACACTTTCACTGAGACGTGTCAAGCCTAAGACACTGTTTGAATAGACAAGTAACAAATGTGCAGTGGTAATGAAACTGACCGAGTGGCCGTTGTATTATTAGCAGCTTGTTCGTTGTCACCGGCCATAAGTCTTGCACATCTTTTAACAGGGTTCCCTTTATTCATCAGTCTTAACTTAACCAGGTCTTTCAAATCAATATTCATGAGCGTCTATTTTTGAAACTTTCTACTAGGTTAATATATTTATGTAACTAAAACTTAACTGTTTCTAAAACACAGAAAAATAAAAGAAATAACATTATGTAGTAAAAAAAAAAAACACCCTGTTGCAGCCAATTCAAAAATTCAATTTTATATAACCTTACAGTTAGTGTACAACAACGTGCTTCAATGAACTAAATATATTTGTTTTTTTTTAGCTCTACAAGATAATTTGGAAAAAAATTAAAAAATTGTATGTTTAGGGGGTCAAATGTGAGAAAAACCAATTTTTACCCCATAACACTACGTTCCTGATCATGCTGGTTTGCAAAATCCTTTAAATAAATGTAGACTTACAGGTTTGTACCAAATTTCATGAAAATCTGATGATTTTAACTCAAGTTATGGTGCTAACGGGCACATTCATACAGAATGTCCTGTAAGTTAACAGCCAAACTCCAGGAAATGGTTCTATGTGTCAAAATAAAGAATAATGTTATTTCCAAAATTGCTTTTAAACCATTATTTGCCATTTTGTATGTTTTACATAAATATTTTTAATTTAACTCCATCTGTTAACAATGTAGGCCTACTTACAGCTTGTGACAGAAAGACGATCTACTACACGGACCAACATCCTCAAAGCTGAACAGTTTACTATCCAAACGCCTAGATTCTTTCAGACCTGAATTGATAGACTCGGTAGACTCCCTATTATCTGGACATCGGTTTAACCGGACTACACTCGGCGGAAATGACATCTCTTTAACTGGAAAATTTTCATCTGCACATCGGTTTAACCAGACTAGATCGGCAGAAAGTGGGCGGTACTGAAACGACTGTTCTAGTGGGAAAGATTTGAGACCAGTGATCACGTTTCTAAATACGATGCTCTCCTAAATTAAAGATAAATACTGTATACAGTATGCATTTAAACGGTCAGTTTAAACGAGTTTATAGAGACATTGGTTTAACCGGAAAACCCGTTATCCGGACTTGCCTCGGTCACGAGAAGTCCAGATAAGAGGGAGTCTACTGTATATGTCAAATAATTGATTATTAGTATTGATGATCATAATGTGTACTGACCTCTATACTAAAGTATCCTCTATCTACGTAGTCTCCCAGGAAGAGGTACTTGGTACTGGCCGGTGGACCTCCGACCTCAAACAGCTTCATCAGGTCATAGAACTGTCCATGGATATCACCACACACTGCAACAAACAAACCAACAATGATTAACATGTCTCTGGAAGATATTTACAACACTACTGCAGTCAAGTCTTGTAGAGAAAACTTGTAGACATGGTCAGCAAACCCTGTTTAATTATTAGTAACACTAATTTAGAAAGGCGAGAATATTTTATATTTCCCAAACAGGGAATAAGCTATTACCATAGGTCTCATAACACTTAGACATGGGACCGGTTTTCTTTTTCGTTTGGAGGTCCCCAAAGGCCAAAAAACCCCTCTGTTCTAATTCATATATATATGTGTCTGTGTGTGTTTGTCTGTTAGCGCAATAACTCGAGCTAAATTAATCAGATTTTCATAAAATTTTGTACAAACGTGTAAACCTACATTTATTGGAACGAGTTTGTGAACCACCTAGATAGGACTATGGGAACAAGGGTTTATGGAGGTTTAATGAAGTAGAAATTGGCCCATTTTTGGCCCTGAAAACAAAAAGAGGCCCCATTGTTTACCAAATCATATTGTAGACCTTAAAAAATAAATAATTTAGTATATTAAAAGCGTTGTTTTAAGCATAACAGTTTTCAAAAAAATTTAAAAAAGTGTATAACCTTACTATAAATTCCCATGTCATTCTTATGGAGAATAAATAACTGTTGTAGTTTGCTTGTTTATGGATATATTTTAATCAAATTTGACCATTTTCTTTATTTCATACTATCAACATTTCAATATAAACACACCTCATGGGCTTCCCTGTAGCAGCAAACCTTAAGTACTAATTAAAATTAATGTTATCTAAATAGGACAATATAAAGGGAATATTTTAGTGGAAATCCAGCCTGGTAAATAGAAATTCACTTAGTCTGCAGGTTTGCTGCAGTGGGGTTATTATTTACTTAATATTTTCGGCAAAAGGTGCTTCTCCTGGTGCCTCACCAGACAATAAGCCCTCAATAATCTGAACCCCATTTAAAAAGATTTTGCTTATCACTTGACAATAGTTATTTGTGTAACTAGTGTGCAAAGTGGCACTTTACTGCACATGGGAGAAATGTTTACGCATGAGCCTCAGGCAAGTATGGAAAGTTTCTTTAGTGCATCAAAGGCAATTTGCACTCGTGTTACACATTATATTTTTTCTACAGTTTCTATAAAGCATATAAATAATAGTCTTATAAATACTATACAACACGTTTTTAGGTTAGGTTAAATCAAAGAGTTGAACAAAATGGGAAACGCTGCACGAGTTGATCATAGTATGTTCAAGTGTTGCCAACTTATTTTCAAGCGTACAAGTATTACGTGCCTAATAAAAGCACACTGTTTTGTGTTGTTTGGTTGGAATAGCCTACTGGAGTGCGGCAAAAAAAAAATTAGTGCATCAAAATAAAATGAGAGCGGCAAAAGTAAATGCAGCAATTAATTAGGTACTTGGTGTTCTAAAATCAGTGCAAGGAAGCCCACTTTGTCAGGTAACTATAGGAAAAATATTATTAAGTTTTGTATTGCTATGTTGGGAATACGCTACTGGAAACTACACAGTTTCATTATATAGCATGCTGTTTAGTAGCGTGTTGTAACCACTGGTAAACATGTAACGCCGGACTGTACACATACATATTATTAGTGTTGTTGCAATCTGTTATAAAATTGTCATTGTCTTAGTCATATGAATAATTATTTCCCTGTAAATCACCCCAAGATGTTTCTTGGTTTTATTTCTTTGATTTGATTTTCACAGTACTTCCAACCCATTGAATAATACTCAAAATTTAACTTAGAATAACAGTAAAAACTGTTAAAACTAACTTTTAATATAGAAAACATTTAAAGAAATGAAAATCGTACACTAACATTTTATTCCGCAACCAGTACAAAAATGTGCAAAGCCCAAAACAAAGTTACCACCGTTCTAATTATCCTAATGCCAATGGCAAAGGGAAAGCACGAAAGGCCAAAGAAACAGCCAAACTCATTATCCGACCATTTGCAATCGGGCCAAGTCAAATACACTTTATCATCCGCAATCTAAAATGGTGGAGTTAGCCTATAATTTGCAGGCCTGCAGTTATAAAAGGGTTATCAATAAAAGTTGTCGGCCATTAGGGCATTAAAGGTGGTTAAGATTTACGTGAGAGTGGGCAGAAAGGGGGGAGAGAAACATGCAACATGCGAGCTGATAAAGCAACACTTTGATAACAACCGAGTCACGCGACACGAGTCACACGATCACCTAGCCGAGGGAACAATGTCTGGTAATTGATGTTGAAGTGAAGCTTACTTAGCCTTACAACAATCATGTGACACACTGGCTAGACTATGTTTGTAACTGAAGAGGTTATAGGAGACTAAATGAAAGAAGTGAAGCTTGCTGAATCTTAGAACACAGAGAATAAGTAAGAGGAAAGCAAGATATCCTACCCTAACTCCCAAGATGGGATTTGTGTAGTTTGATTGTCAAATTAATTGTTTTAGTTCAAAAGCTTACCGGGGTCTTTCAACCTTTAAGTTTTCTAGTCCACATGGGGGTCGGGCCTTAGCATGGGATGTTTCAAGAAATGCAAGGGGTAAGTCGGTACAATAAAAGAAAGAACTGTACAGGTAGGTAAACACAGGTACACAGTACACTGTACAGGTGGTTAGCTTTAAGTTGCCCCACCAGGTCATTAACTTATGACATATCTTCCTTGGTTTACATGTTGTGCTACAAATTGAGCCACCAACCCAATGAAAAATCAATTAATATTAATTATCTATGTCATAGTAGTACACAATGATTACAAGTAAATGTAAACATAGCGATTTTGTATTCCTTGTCAGAGGTCAACCTCAAATCTGTCCATGTTCATAGGACCCAAGGGTATTTTGGGGACAAAACAGACCTCAATATAGGGGTGAAATATATTTGTGCCAAATTTATCCTTATCAATTCAAGTTTTTATATTACCTCAACAGAAACACGCAGAAACACAGATTCACAAAGAAAACCCACATTTTAAAACAATATTATAGGTAACACACATCAGGTACATACAACAGGTATGTTTCCAACTTTAATCAAAGTCAACCTGGTGTTGTCGCAAGTAGAAACAACAATGTTTGTCTAGTCGAATGTCCGCAGATAGTTGGCACAATACAATCGCAAGATCCAGACCCATACATCAGAGTTTCTTGTTTAACACTGGCCATTGGCCAATGTGGTTTCCTTTTCTATACATTCATCGATGAACCGTCTTCCGTAGCTACAAACATTGTCGATACAAATGAGATACTTAATGAGCTACAGTTGAGATTAGTTTTGGCCAATTTACAAGATTTAATGTTATTTCCATTTTAGTTTTGTTGGTGTAAATAGATTGTGAGAGTGTTTGTGAATAAACCGTTTTAGGTAGGTAGTAGTATTTTATTATAAATACCCATGAACCTTATCCAATAATAAATACCTGGCAATAATTTTAAAATAACCAATGCACGACTAATAGTTTCTGATTTAATAAATTTCAAATTAGAACAAATAAAAAATAGAATATTTACAACATTGAGATACTTTTGTCTGATCTTCTTCTTCTATTATAATGCGCAGATGATAATATGTTTTTGTGTGTTTAAAGTACATACATGTATATTCATGTATGCATACATGTGTATGTGTATATATACATGTATATGTGTTGCCTAAAGAAGTGTGGTTTTATTTTGTTTTAGTGCTCCATATGTTGATTATATGGGACAATTAATATTGAATGGACATTATGCAAACCCAGCAGACGTATGATCATTGTTGTATGTCCGCTATGTAACAAAACTGCCGTATTCATTTGTAATACATTTTTCTATTTTATTCTATATTGCGCAGAATATCTTGCGATCAGTATAAAATTAGTATATTTCTTCAATTGATAGATGATTTTTAAAACTAAATCAAAACTACCATTTTTAGTCTTCATATATTTAAAAATATCATTAATATTTAGATATACTTCATATATTTAGCACCGCTTCTCATTGAACCAAATTTATTAACACTAGGTGTTAATCTAACAAAATTTCCTTTAACACAAACTTATTTGAAACAACTATTTATAAAGCAGTAAAAAACTTGCATAGTCAGGTGGTTAGCTACAGCCGTGATATTCCAAAAACTAAATGTTAACAAAAACAAAAAAAATTAGTGAAAAAAATTTAAAAATTTGGGTACAAAAACAAAGCATTAGGCTGCAAATTAACGATTCATGGATTGTCCAGGTCGTGTGTATGATGCTAAACAAACAGTGGGGTGACGGTAATGCGTGATATGTAAATCCCTCCTAGGCTGTCTGCGTTAGCATTGATCACTGCACTGCGGCCCAGCTAACGTTACACATTGCATCTGCGATCCACGCACACATGGTTGTTGGATCGGTTTTCTCTTCAAGAATACTCCCAAGATTTAAACATGGATAGATCTCAGCATGGGCTCGTCCAGAGAAAAAATCTGTGTACTATTAACCATTTACTAATGGGTCAGTTATGTCTGTAAAAAATTTACCAAACATTTATTTCTGTTAATTAAAAAAAATTGTGTATAAAAATAATGTAAAATTTTTGTTTATTTTTGTTTTTGTCGTTGAGTGAGAATGGACCCTCCAAATTGTTCTGTAAAGTTTTACTTCCATTGGCAGTAAACTGTTTTCTTTGAAATTTTCTTGATTGTAAAATATTTTATACAGTACTCTATTCTATTGTACAATGAACGATTATTTGTTGTAAAAGGTGTACAACAAATAATCAATGCCATAAAAGAAGGTTGATTTGAACTTTAACCCTGCAACTGTTTTGATAAAAAGATTATTTAATTCACACTGAAATAAATTTTTTTAAATACATATTTCGTTCTGCTCTTAAATACAGTACTGTTCTCTTTATTTAGCACCAACCACATCATAAAATTGACATAAAAAATTTGAAAATAAGTACCATGCGAAAGATTTGTTTAAAATGTTAAAAACCTTAACATATAATGATAGTATCACTGAAA